TGTGACTGCCTGTTACTGTACCGGGTGGTCCAATAAGCCGATCTCTCGGCTATATATCAGAAACTATTAATGTTATAACTTTAGGAGAAAAATTCCTTAGTAAAAGTGGCCAAAAGAAATCGCTAGAAATAACTTTCAAGTTTCTGGGTTAACCGCCAGGGAGCGTAACCTGTGAAGAAAATTTTGAAAACCAGTTTTTTGTAAAATATGCCCAATTATACTAAGTGTTAAATAAGTAAACTAGAAAGAGGCCTAAATTCCGCACAAAGTTGTTCAAGTACTTTTTTTTATTTTTTCAATTAAAGGGTGGGGGAGAGTAGGAAAGTATTTGTGGATAAATACCCATACCTTTGGTTTAGATCAACCGATTTTAACCAAATTAATGTCACTAGAAAAAGTGTGGATAAATTAATTTACATCTACTATAAAACAATTGCATTTGGTTTTAATTGTCATAGATAGAGAGTACTTTCGAAGAGAAAAAATTAAAATTTGTTTTTCTTCAAAATTTTTAATAGAAATACCTATTTATTGTAAATTATAATGGAACTGGATTAAATTCGTAACAAAATTACGCAAATCGCAAGTTAATAGCTTTTGTCGAACTCGAGATATGAAAAACGCATAAACATAAGTAAGTATAGTATTGACTCACCTTGTATTATAAATTAAATTGAAATATAAGTCAGTAGGTACTTTCAAATTTTTTTATAGCAGAAGAATCTTAATGTTGTCTATTTTGACCATTAAAGGAATTTGACCTGGAAAGTTATTTCCAGCGATTTCTCTTATAACATGAATAGTTTCTGATATATAGCCGAGAGATCGGCTTATTGAACCACCCGGTACATTAAAGAAGGGGGATCACGGTCACCGTTTAACACTTAGACTGCCGCCATAGTGAAAAAAAGAGGGTCCTTCCAGCCGGACATATTTCTATCCCATATAAATAACATACAAGCGGGAATCAAAAGCTGATTCTCGCGGCAACAGAATCAAATTGGCCGTGCATCACGGCATGCTTCTCATGGCAGTCAAAGTGTTAAAATCACAGTTATTTAAAAATCACGGTCACTGATCACGGCGTGATTTAAAAATCACCACATTCACCATCACTACCTGGAATGGAAATAAGCGGTGACTTCGAGTTGTTGTTACTTGTGGCGGACTAAGTAGGACTAAGGACGATTAGGGAAGACTAAGACGGACTAAGGTAGATGAGGGATGATTTAGAATCATTTACAGATTGCATAGATTGATTACATATTGCATTATATAAAATTATCTTTGACAGATTTGGGAATACGTAACTATAAAATCTTATTTCGTGTTTATATTTCATGACAACATTACGTTTTTTTGTTATATATTAATTTTTTATTTAAAATTAAAGTCTCTCATAATCACTATAAATAGTTAATTTGAACAAATATTCTATTATAAATCATTTATAAAATACATTTTTAGAATAATAAATGGCTCGTAAGACAATAGTTCCATATTGGAATATTCTTTAGCGTTTGTTTTTTGGTTAATATTATGAATGTACACAAAAGCAAATGCTTCACAATTATTTCGGCTGAGTAAATAACGTTAACTCTTCATTTCTAACGTGATAGTTTTGTCACGTAATCGTCATCTGCCAGATATCAAAAATTTATCTATTTTTCCTAATCTGCGGTAATTTTTTTTTATCATTGATACGTTGTATACATATCTTAGTATTACATATTTGAATTCAGAAATAACATACACTTTATACAATGGAATGTTAAAATACCAGTAAATTATATTGACAAAATGTATAACGGGTGTATTTAAATATCCAATACTTTATTATTGTCATAAACTTAGATATATGAAGACATAAGTGGATAAAGGTCATATGTCACAAAATTATGTTTTTAAGTAATGAGCATTTTAGTGTCTTTTTTGTAGCAATTTGCATTGCTACAAGTTATCTATCTAGCTACTATCATTACATCTGAAATTTTACATCTTCTTGAAGTTTGCATAAACCAGGACTACTTTGAATTTAATAATCAAATATATACAAATAACAGTGCATGACTTATAATGGGCAATACATCGCGTATTTAAACAGTTTTTATATTGGTGGAGATACGTAGACGACGTATTAGTATGTTTTACAGGAACTAACAGGCAACTCGACCAATTTTTATCCTATATTAATTCACTCCATAATCATATTGAATTTACAATAGAAACAGAACAAAATCAATCCATACATTTTTTAGATTTAAAAATTATCAGACTTAAAAACAATCTTCTCCATGACTTCAATGACTTCTCCATATTCCATAAACCTACCCATACTGACACGACTATACACAATTCATCATCCCATCTTTTTGGACTTCCAAAATTAATATTTTTGGAAAAATTCAGCTTGTTCGTATGATTTTTAGAGGTTGAGTGGCATACACGAAATATATCATCGAGGTTCCTACAGCCTCTGCCTCTTCTCCATTTCGACTGCCATCGTTTTCTGTCCATCCATTCGTCTTCTTTGATGACTCAATCTCTCATTATGTGCCGTACATTTTCTTCCCAGGCAAAAAAAGGCCTTTCCCTTCTTTTTCTTTGTTGTGGTATGTAATTTAAAGCTTTCTTTGGTTATCTATCTTCATGCATTCGCTTCACGTGACCATACCAGTTGTCTCGTTTCAATTCTGTCTACACTGGAATATACACTATTTGTCTTTCTTTTAATATCTTTATCCCTAATATCCCTAATTATTCCCCTACATGTTCATATTTCTTCCATTTCGATCTCTTAGAATTTACATCTATCCTCTGTCAGTCTTCTTTTTGTGCCACTCCTATCGGAGATTGGAAATCATCAAGGCTATTCTGACCTTGTTTACGGCTGACCTAAAGAGTTCATTAGTGGTGCAGCCAAACCACACTCTCAAATTCCGCAACCATGACATTCTTCTACGGCCTGGATTCTGTTTTCCTTCTATTTTTCCCTAATATTTTGAAGTAATGCGTATTTATGTCCTCTCATCAGGTGACCATCAGGTCCTCTCTGTCAGTAAGACCTCATAATGGTGTTTAATGATTTAATATTTTATATATCTTGTAATCTTCCTCCTTTCTCGTTGACTTCCATTTCTGATAAGTAGTTTTCTTCTTGTTTACTAACGTTTGCATATTCTCCGACCACTATTCTTGTTTTTTTTTTCATGTTTGTCTTTATACTCCAAAGCTTCACTTTCAGCCTCATGAATGCATTTTTTAAGTTGCTGATATAATTCTTCCGCTGATATATTTTCTCGATCCACGTTTTGTAATTTTGTGGTCAGTCGTAATTTGTAAAGAAATTTCGTTGAATCATTTTTTAAGCTTCCTAGTTTATATTTAGGGGATGTTACTTCTTGTCCCTTTTCTATATTCTGTACCTGAGTGTTACTGTTTTTGCGATACTTCACTATCACATTGGCCATTAGTATGGTCGGATCCACATTCTGATATACGACATACCCTTACGTCAGCTGGGAAGTTTGACGTTGGATTACATAGTCGATTATCGAGCGCATATTTCAAGTAGGTTGTAACCATGTAAATTTGTGGATGTCTTTATGTTGAAAAAGCCATTCATAATTTTGAGAGACATTTTTTCACAAAAATCTCTAAGACGCATTCAGTTGTCATTGGTTATTTATTCTCCATATCTTCCTATGATTCTGTTATTTTCTTCTCTCCCTACTCTGCCGTTTAAATCTCCTAGTAAAAAGATTTCACAGTTTTCTTTAACTTCAGAGAGTATTTCATTCGTCTTGTTATAGAAATCGTCTTTACTTCCTGGATCAGCATCTTCATTTGGGGCATACACTCCGACAATTACGATGTTGTGCCTATTCTTTTTCATTTGCAGTATCAGCAGTTGTTCATTTACTTCAGTCCACGATTTAATATTGTTTTTAAGATTTTTTCGAATGGCAATAGAGACTCCTCTCTTAGCTCTGTTATCTTTACTCACTCCACTGTAGATATGTATATATTCTCCTATTTCTTCATTTCCTTTTTTCTTGGTCTCGATGAGAATACATATGTCTATTTTTCTTTCCGCTAATTCTTTGAATACTTCTGCTTGTTTGGTTCTAAGACCTTCCACATTTCGAGAGAAATGAAGAGAGAGAAAAAGCAGAGAAAATGTATTTTTAGTACACATCAGGTTCAACCATTTTAAAAAACGCCCAGTATTTTCTTTTCTAATTATTTTACTTAAAATTGAATATATTTTTAATTTACTTATTGCCACCTTGAAGCTAAAATTATCTTATTTTATTATTGATTCCAAATTTTATAATTGCTTGAATTTGCTGTGATTAAGAACTAATTATTTCAAGGTTCGTCACTGATCTTTATCTTCTGTTTTATTATTGTTGTGTTACGTTACATTTCATCCTTAGTCATCATACTTTGTTTAAAATTAGTGGTAATTAGTCAATAGTGAGACTATAATATGTTTTTTTATTGACTCGTTAATATTTTTATTGTGCTGATGTTGAAATAAAGAAAAACAATTGATATACAAATACATCGAATGGGCAAGCCAAAATTCCTAATTCCTATGTCTATTTAAAACGATCTTTTTTGGAAGTTTTCGTCAGATTTGCTAAATTTATAAGATATGATATACACTAGAAACTATAGACCTTTGACCCTGGATACCTAGAGCTCTTGTATCAACGCGAATCTTCTTACAGCAATAGTAAGGTTTATGCAAGCTGCCTTACTATGCCGAACATTCGTATTTATCACCTTTGTTGGGGGTTTTCACCTATTTGTTGCAGCTACAGAGTCCGCGACCGAGATCGCATCTATACACGTTTCTTTTTTATTTTTATTCGAGTTCCAGATTTCTAGATCATCACTTAGGAAACTTGATTTAAAACAATAAAAATATGTCACTGTATTTATATCACTTCACAAATCTATTGTATTTATCGTATATCGTAAACTTTTTCCAGACATTTTCCTTGGCAGGACTTGGAGCAGGAGCCACTGAGGCCGTTCTTGTCAACCCTTTTGAAGTAGTGAAGGTGTCTCTACAATCTAACAAAGCAAAATCCAGCGAAGTCCCTAGCACTTGGGCAGTAACTAGAGTTATTATACAGGAAAATGGTTTCGGTTTGAAGGGTTTGAACAAAGGACTGACGGCTACTGTTGCGAGAAATTCCATATTTAATATGTTTTATTTCGGATTTTACCATTCTGTGAAGGGGGTGCTGCCAGAATATGAAGTAAGTAGTAAAAATATTCGATTTGAGGTATATATTTTAGACTGCATATCATTTAAGTTGACTCGTATATCTTTTCGTTACTGTCGCATAACACTTTTACGTATAATTAGTATTTTCATAGCACCTGTTTTTTATTAGCAAGTCTAGTTTAGCACCAGTCTGGTGCTGAGAAATAGGTACCGAAAGCGGAGTTATCAGAAAAATTATCAACTGAGGATGTACAAGGCAAGGACAACTACTACATTATAGAAGTCTCTTATACTGTCTACAAAGACAGTCAGCTAACTGATACTTAATGATAATAACAAAATTAAGAAGTTTGGAATATCCTATTAGGAGCCCTGTTTGTTGCCACCACATGTCTTAAATACACTAAGCTTATCAAACACTTAACATTTATTCATCTGTTACAATTCGGTGTTCATCTTTATACCATTCATCATGTTCATCTTTATACCATATACCTAACCTAACCTAACCATTTGTAATTGTTGTCTCTTTACCATATCTTCCCATTCTGCCAAAACCTTCATTGCAACAGTATTACAATTGCAATCTTCCATGACGAATCCTCTAGTGACTCAGAGTCCCAAATATTTATAAATAAAATTCAAATCATTTGAGATCAACTAATTGCTGAAAATCCCAAATATATTTACTAAAGGCTATGGTGGGATAAGGTGGTAAAAACTGCACTCAGCTGGATTCTTATTTGAGATTGGTCACTTGAAAGTACATATTTAGGAATACCTTTAGACAATTGTTTAGCTCCCTAGGTGGCCCTAGGAATCACCCATCGCAAAAATGTTTTTATCGCAAAAATTTTTTTCCTGAGCTTTAAAAAACATGAAAAAATTCGTGCAGTTCACTGCATTCGTGCAAAAACACTGATTACTTAAGATTTTTTTGATCAAAATTGAACTTGAGAAGTTTTTAAAGGATTTTTGGATATCTAGGTAATTTTTGGCCGGGTTAAATTTGCCAGTTTATCTGTGGAACATCCTGAAAATTCGAAGAAACCCATTTTTGTATACTCAACTGCATGTTGAATAAATAACGATTGTTGATATATTTTTTCGTTATTTCTAATAGTGGGATCAGGGTTACCATTTTCAGACAAAAACATACTTAAAATACGACAAACTCTCTTTTTTGATATTTTGTCCCATGTTTTTGGTAATTTTTCAATGACAGAATCAGTGATAGTAAAATCATTGACCAATATTTTCATTTTAGAATCCTTACACCGAATTTTTCAAGAAGATTGGGCTCGGTTTCATTTCGGGCAGTGTAGCGTCGTGTTTAAATATTCCATTCGACGTGGCCAAATCCAGAATCCAAGGACCTCAACCGGTGCTTGGTGAAATCAAATACAGAACGACGCTCAACTCCATGGCCATTGTGTATCGGGAGGAAGGGTAAGTACTTTTCTTATTAATTGTCACTTCAATGACATTTGACATGTTATTGGTTTTTCTTTTTTTAAGTGTATATACTGTATGATCATGATACTATGAACATAAACCCACGAGAACGCGATCAGTCTATCTCTTTTGCACGTGTGAAGTCACTTGGCGACAAATATCACCAGAAATGTTCTGCTTTGCATGGAGTTTTGTCAGATTTAGTATTGTTTTATCGTTTATCTAGTACTTTGACAAATAAATGTGTGCATTTTATATAAAATATATTTCAGAATATTATATTAAAGATAAACTTTTATCGCCAAGTGACGTCATGCGCATCGACGTACAAAATTCGATTGCGAAGTGGTTTTATCTTGGAAGTCATAGTATCCTGCTGTATGATATTTGATGTCCCATGCCTAGATATATTCGAATCCATGATCATCTAAACAGCTACAATTCAAAAACACGGAACGATACCATGTTAGTGCTATCAATAATAACCTAAGGAAAATACTCATAAACTTCTTACGCCCCAAAGAATCTTTTATGTACTAATATTAATTTTATTTTGCAGATTGGCTGCCCTATACAAAGGCCTTCTTCCGAAGGTTCTCAGGCTGGGACCAGGTGGTGCTATCATGCTTGTTGTTTACGAGTACTCACACAAATATCTGACTGAAGTGTTCAAGTAATCGCCGATTCTCATTGACCAAAGAGTGATTTGCATTTAGTTAACATAACAAATTGCTTTTTTATTTTGCCATAACCACATAAAGCGTTTTAAATTCTTGAACTCGCCACGTTAGATGGCGTCGTATGTCATACGTCATATATCAGAATTTGTCATTACTGTCAAAATACCTTACTAACTAACTTTCAAAAGTTATTAAAATATTTTGATGTACTAGTGTGAAGTCTTGCCATATTTGTTAAAGGTATGAATTCACTGTTACCATATGTATATGAGAATTTGACATAAGTGTAAAGATTGCCTTTACTGTTAAGGTTTGTGATTACTATCAACATTGACATTACTATTAAGAGTGGCCGAATAAATTAAACATTACTGGCAATACCTTCTTGTCGGTATGTTTAATTCCTTTTACCTTGAAAATATATGTAAATATTATTAATTTTATGTATTTTTACAATTTATAGACCACTGTATATTAATGAACTTACCTCAAATAAGCACATTATTACTTTAATAGTAAGAAAAGAAATGGTTAAAAGTCTTCCATATAACGGAACAGTTATTTAAATGTTAATGTATGTATAAGTGTCAAGTGTCATATGTCATTTATATATTTATGACGTCACTAGTATTTTTCATATAGCTCAAAGCAAATGCAAGGTGCCTAAACGTTTGACAATATTTATTTTTCAGTTGTCTATTGGAAACAGTTTTTTTCTTAGATCTTCTTGTAACTTTTTATCTTCCAGCACAATTTACAATAGACATGGTTTAAACGTACCAAATATTTATTATAAAAAAATCTATTAGCTTGTGGTAATTTATAGTCAATCTTTTTATCGGAAAAACTGCAAGCGTGATTTTGGGACTATAAACAGGCATGTGACAATCTATAAAACCAAAATTATGATAAAATCTTGTAGGTTTAGTCCACCTTGTATATCTAGTCAGAATGGTGTTTTTGTTAAGTTTTTTTTGTTCAAATCTTTTTTATATTTTATTGACAAGTGACGCTACTTATTCACTGGTAACATTATCTGTTTATAATAAAGAGGTTAATTTACCTAAATCATTTATTTGTAAAATGTGTATAAAGTGAACATTGTTTTTTATTTTTTACACTGGCATTTTATGTTCTAAAGAATATTAATAAATTTTATTGCCGATTTTTATTGTTTTAGTTTATAGTTTCAGGCTTTGGCTTCCGATGTGGCTGTGTAGGTTTACTAGGTCAGTCTTGAGTTGGTCGAAGATTTCGGTGAGGCTGAAACAATGAAAAAAATTTCTAAATGAAACAAATAGGCATAGGTTACCTACAGTTATCCCTTGGATTTTTGCACAATTATAATATTTTTAAATAAATACTTGCCTTCGTTGATAAGGATCTGTGTCTTGAACTTCTGTTTCAGTAACAGTTGCTATGTTCTTTGTTTCTGTGTTTACTTGAATTCCTATGGATTTCATATCCTAGAATAAAAATAAGGAGACAGTCAATATGGATCAAATACAGCAATATGTCTTAATACAAATTCATAAAGAATCTAGGCGATTTTTCGAGTATGTATAATATTAAGAAAATAAGAGAGGAACAAGTTCACTTCCAAGCAATATTTTAGCTCTGTAGAGTGTCCTGTATCATCTTGTCCAACGTTTATTTTTTATATAAACTTTTTAGCAGATTCATTGAACTTTCAGTAATCGGATAGAATCTATTTGAACTAGGAGTCATACTACATAATTATGCATATACATAATTTGTACCGGCTCTTCCTATGACTCGACTGAAGCAATGTTTCATCACCTACAATTTGATATAACGTTTTACTTTTTTTTAAATTCCTTTATAAAAGATATAATAAAAACCCTATCGGGCTACATCACAGAACGTTTTCGGAATTATTATTCCGTCATCAGTGCTATCTGGATGTACATATTTGGAGCTACTAAATATATAGGTAAAGACCCTTTAAATGTTGTTAGATAACCTTTTGAGTTAATTTTTTTAAAATTATAAACTTGATGTTTAAACTACAACAGAAATTGATTACATGGCAATGTAAGACTCCAGTGGAAGTAGCTAGTTCTTAGAGGAAGTGTCTGTGTGGATTTGTTTATAGCAACTATTGCAGCAACAACTGACTTGTTGAGTTGTTACGTACGATAACGATCCTGTATTATATATCTATGCCACCTGATTGCCACCTCAAGTAGAAGAAGAAGAAATGGTGTGATCCATCTTATTAATACATTGTGGACCCTTTGTAAGTGTTAGTCAGTCTTATAATAAACAAATTACAGTGCTGCATATTATAATGATGTTAGAGCACAGCTATTAATTACTACAATGATGTATCTGCTAAATAATAGAAAACTCGAAGGAATACAATAGGAAAAGCGAGGGAACTCAACATAACAATGCTGCTCTATTTCGTAAATTACACAAAGGCTTTCGATTCAGTAAAATGGGATCCTCCCTGGAGTATAATGGAAAATATGGGAGTATCTAACCACCAAGTTAACCTAATAAGAAATCTGTATAAAGACTCAACCAAAGTTGAAATACACGGAATATATTCAGATGCGTTTAAAACAAAGAATGCAACTAGGCAGGGCTGCATATTATCACTACTATTCTTTTTGTGCTTGTGCTTATCCGTTTCGGATGTTAGCGACCATCATGGCACGCTGCTGCCCACAGACTGACAGTGGCTCACTAGTTGGTCAGTGACATGCACGTAGCGCACTACCGTTAATTTGTTTTGTGATTACTCGCGTTTTCGTTCGTTTTATAAAACATCTTTTTGTACTTACGTTAATATGGATCCGAAAGGGATAAAAGAGGACAGTGAAAATGGGAAGTTTCTGGCAGATTGGACTGAACAATATTGTTTTACTCTGCCTGATAGGCCGCAAGCGGTTCCGGTGTGCCTTATATGCAATAAAACTGTCGCCTTAGTTAAAAGTGGAAATTTTAAGCGACACTACGAAACAACTCATCAGCAGTTCCACAAAAATTTTCCTTTTGGCAGTCAGGCGCGTAAAGAAAAACTTCGGATATATCTGAATACGAAAAAAGTACAAATATCCTAGTATGCTGCATAAGCGACCAAGAAAAATCCACAGAGGCAGCGTTAGGTATGTGCTGGATACTTAATAAGCATTTTCTGATTCTGAGATAGTGAAGGAATATATGCTGGCAGTAACTAACTCACTTTTTGAAGAAAAAAAAAGATGTTGACTCAGCAATTCAAAGCATCTCACTGTCAGCGCGAAGTAATACACGAAGAACGGAAATTTTAGCTGCGGACATTAAAAACTCTCTTCTTAATCTTTTGCAAAAGGCACCTTGCTACGCCATAGCACTTGACGAATCATGTGACATTGTTGATGATGAACCAATGTCTGTTTTTGTAAGATTTCTTGATATTAAGTGTCAGATTTTTAGGGAAGAGTTGCTAGCAATATTGCCGCTGAAAGGTAACACTCGAGGAGAAGGTTTATATAAAAATTATTTCGCTCTCTACTAATGGGGCCCCATCAATAATTTGCAAAGAAAAAGGTGTAGTAAAGAGGATCAGGGATAAAAATTCAAAATTAATAAAATATCAGTGCATAATACTCCAGACAGCCCTTCGTAGAAAACTTGCTAGATTTAAAGTCATGAACAGTTTAGTGAGGTTAATTAATTTTATGAGATCTCATTCTGCTCTTCAGCATCGACATTTCAAGGAGTTTCTTTCTGAATGTGATTCAGCATATTCTGACTTACTACAACACAATAATGCTCGTTGGTTAAGTAAAGGTGAAATTATTGAACGGTTCTGGCTAATAAAAGAACATGTGATCTTACAAAATATAGATACGCAGGGAGCCAGGGCACATTTTGAGTATACAACAAATAGGCTCAACATGCTGGTTGTGGCTTTTCTAAAAGATATTTTAAAATCTTTGTATGCGCCTAACGCAAAGTTACAAGGAAATGGAAAATTAGTATGTGATCTGATACAAAGCGTGTCTGCCTTTCGTCGTAAGCTGAATATCTTTGAAAAATATATTGCACAACAAGAATTCATTCATTTTCCAACTATTCTTGAATATAATAAAAATAAGGAGAAGAAGACATTGCAGTGTTCGTAAAATTTCTGGGCGATCTTAGGAACAAATTTGCTTCAAAATTCCAAGACTTTGCACAGGTAAGCAAACTATCTTCATTTCTAAAATCACAATTTGAAGTTGATAGAGCGCCAGAATGGACAGTTGTGACTGCTAAGCTATTTAATCTGTCAAAAGCATTACTTCAAATGGAGATTATTGAATTACAAGAAGATTGGTCCTTGCACGTTTATAAATTGGTATCCGCCGAAGAATTTTGGGCCAAACATGTGCCAACAAAATATGAACATTGCAGGCAACTTGCAATCAATTTGGACACTATGTTGGGCTCAACGTATATGTTCGAAACGTCTTTCCCAAAATTGAATTTTTTGAAAAACAAAGATCGCTCTCTAAAATTTAAGGTCTTTTGTTTTATCATTAAGAATATACCAAAATAATAAACAAATTGTCATTAAATGTTATCGTTTGTTTTTTTTGGACCTTGTTAAAATTTTCTTCTAGTACCGGACCCCACACAAAATTACTTGCCGACTCCTGGCTTCTCCATTTCTTGAAATGCAGATCGTGCTTTCTTTATTCTACATTTTATTATCATCAAAGAGTTCTTGTATTTATTTGGTTCATATGCATATTTCTTGATTTTTATCTTTGATGATGTTCCCTTGTTGATCTTGCAGTTTGTTAGCTGTGTTGGATTTTCGAAGACCAGCTGCTTGTTATCCTTTTTTTTGTACAGCATATATAACCATTATTATACAACATATATTGTGAATATATAATGAGAAAAGTACTAGACGAATGGGATGAAGGAATCACTATAGGAGGCAGAAAAATCAGTAAGCTGCGATATGCAGATGATACACTTATACTAGCAGTGAATTAAGTCGAAATGATTACTATAACTGAACGGTTAAGCCGGATAAGCGCATAATCCGGACTTCAAATTAACATCGGCAAAACAAAAATAATTAGCGCATGAAAGACATGCTATCAAAAAAAGTAAAAAAACCGGGCATATCTAATTTACTTCGGCTATATAGCTGGAAAAACGGGGACCACGGAAGTATTGGTAGTAGAAGAAAATATAGAAGGTCGAATACCAAGAAAAAGATCTAAACAGGGTGGGCAGACCAAATGAAGACTCTGATGGGAAAATCCCTAAATGAAGTTATCCATATGTCACAGGATCGCAGTCAATAGAGACAAGGTAACAATATTTACACACCACACCAACATAATGTAAAACATATCCCTTTTTAATGGGACTTTAAAACCTAATAAAACCATTCAATCGTTAGTATTACCTGTTGTTATTTGTTTATCCAAGAAGTTACCGGTACCGATTTTACAAATAACAGAAATAGTAGACGGTAATAGAAAAGTTGCTGGACTGATTTGACATATTTTTGAAATTCCATTTGGTGTGGACTCATTTGGCGTGAAATATCAGAAGTAAAAACAAGGAGAACAAAAAAAAAAAACACATTTTGCACTTATTTAAGAAGTTTTATTCATTTATTACACTAAATAACATTCTATAATAACAAAAATTAATAATAAAACAAAAACATAACTGATCACTTACAAAAGTTAAAGTGCCACTATCGAAAATATATTTAAAGTTTTTTTTTTCTATTTAGCAAATTTTTATCTTCGATAACAGCACTGCAGTAATAAAAGAAAATCTAAAGTAAACACAAATAAATAATTATCATCTACTATAATTTTGAATAAGGTATCACAAAGTACAATACACATAAGGTAGGTAACACTTCTAGTTATAGTAAAAGCTCTTTTCACAATGAATAGAAAATAGAATATTATATTATACGCTTCATTTTAATTCACAAAAGATATATGTAATAAAAACTATATTGTTAATTGCTAAGCCTATTAGTCAGCTGTTTAAGCAGTAAATAGTTTAGTAAATTTTCCTTGTGATGCATTGAAAAGGTTTCATTTCCGTATAATGTATTATTTGTGCCATTAGTAATTAACATTTTAAAAACAAGACTACAGGCACAACAAGACAAGAGATAAGTCACCAAT